TACCAGAAGACGAGTGGGGAAGTGAGACGGGAGAAAAGGAGCCCAGAAAGAGTATGAGGTCGAGTAAATCAGCACTGTGGGCCTCTGGGCCTTAGCCCTGCTGGAGAGCTCTGGGAGCCAGCGTGGATCGTTGCTCAGAGCTCGTCTCTCCAGAGAAGAGGGGCTGGGGTACTGATACACCAGCTCTCATCAGGCATTGGTTGACGGTTTCTGGGCCAGGTGGGGTATGGACGCTATTCCCCAGCTCTCTCGCCTTCTGATGGATGCCAGTGTGGGCCTTCAGGCAGTGGCTGCAGTTGGCGTGTGACCTGGGGAGCGTAGGCAGGAGGCTGGCATCACTGTGGCTAGAGAGAGGAGGCGAGAGGCAGACCAGATGAGCAAGAGGGCTAAACGCAGTTTAGTACACGCAGGGGATACGGGCATCCTGGGTGGAGAGGCTGTGTGAGGACAGGGGACAAATGTCAGGCTGTGCAATGGCTTGGTAAGAGATGTGGCGGAGTGAAGAACAGCGCAGAGAGGACTCGAGTGATTGGCAAGCAAGGGGACTGCCCCCTCCCCAGCTCCTTTTTTGTCCAGACACATCAGGGACACAGGCTTCCTGTCCCAGCTTGTCGGCAGCTCATCAGAGGTGCCGACACAGTCCCCAGACCACAAATGTGTGTGTGAAGGGCAGGGAAGGAGCTGTGGCAACTATAAAATAACAAAAGGAGATGGGACCAGCAGATGGCATAATGGTTATGTTGCTGGATTCCCATGTAGTATCCTGGACCCAGTAGCTTCAAACTCAAGCTGGGCGTGTGTGCGTGTGTGCCCAAGATCCCGAGAGGAAAAGAGGAGGAGAAGGGATTGCGGCGTGGCCATCCCTCCCTGGGGTTTGATTTCTTGCATTCTGTCTTTCTGTCTCTCTCTGTCTCTCTGATGAGCACATGTGCCCTATAGCAAAAAGTCTCTCTAAAAAACAAAAGCAAGAACAAAAAGAGCTCTCCAACTCTGTGTGAGTGTGTGAGTGTGTGTGTGTGTGTGTGTGTGTGTAAATGGGAGCAAAGCAATCCAGCCCAGTCCCTACTCTGCATGCCATTCTGACTCCCAGTCTCCTGCATGCCCACATCTCTCTCCCACTCGGAGGCCTTGAGGGGACAGACACTCTGTATGGCTTGCCACCCCTGGAGTCCCAGGACACAGGTCAAGGAAAGGCTTGGTAACAGTCTGTTGCATGAGCATGTGAATGGACCCTCCCTTTGTGCCCTTGTGGGGAGGAGGAAGGGGGTCTGGAAGACAGTCACTTGGTGGCTCTAAGGATATGGGCCCACCAGAGCGGGGCCAGGAGATGGTTGGGAAAGGGAATAGGGTGTTGGCAGGAGAAGATGGGATGATGAAATGGACCAGGGTTTTAGTTGGGGCAACTTCCATAGTTGAAAGCCAAGTAAGAATGAAGTCAGGAGAAAAATAATTCATTGCCGAGAATACTGACTGGGTTTCTCACGTGGTCACCAGGATGCTGGACAGCTGAGCATGCAGGGACAGGGCTCCAGACCCTGCCCAGGAATCTCCAGTGGAGGTTTGCTGTGGAGCCCTCCATGCTCTCGTAGCTCTTCTGGCCAGGCGAGCCCTGGAAGCTTTTATCAGCAGCCCTGTGGCCGCTCCCCCAGGAACCCCCTCCTCCTGCAATGCCAGCTCCAGGTTCTAAGAGTGGGGCAGTGTAGTGCCCACATGCAGCCCCTTAAAGAATCTCATTTCAGCACATGCCCCTGGCCTTGGACTCAGCCTCATGTTCCTGCCTGCCTGCCTGTCCCCAGGGCTTTCTCAGGCTGCTGGGCCTTGATCTGTCTGCCCCTCCGGTGGACTAGGAGTGTGGAGAAGTTAATGTCCGCCTCCAAAAGCCCTTAACCAATGATTGATGGGAGATGGACTATCAGCTCCCTCCACCCTCAGCTGGGATAACTCTGGGGTACGTGTTCTCCATTGGCTCTTGGAATTCCCCAGTGGAATTGCCCATAGCGATGGCTTGTGGGAAACACACCTTTTATTGGTCACCGTCACCTCTCTGGCTCCCCTCCCCTCCCTCCTATTGGTGCTTCTAGGGATAGCCTCCGGCATAATTCACTTGCACTCACACAGTGCTCTCGGTGCCTGCTTCTGAAGGGATGCCTCCACTCCTGGGCGGGTGTATCTGGCTGGTATCCTTAGTCCTGTGTCCTTTTCTGGTTATGAAGGAGGTTGGGAAAGCAAGAATTGAGCATTTTCAACCTCTGCGGGGAGGTGGACTCTGCTCCCACCAGGACCCGTAAGGTGGCGTGTCAGGATTCCGACAGGATGCGGTGCGCAGAGGAGGGTCGATTCACAAATACGCAGGGTGTAGGGGGCGTAAGGGATAGTGCGGTAACTCAGGGTTCACAGTGGACAGCTTTCACCACCCCCAGGTCTGAATGGACGAGGGAAGGGGTAGTTACTGGAACAGAGGAAGAGAGACATGCGGAGAAGAGCAACCAGCCCAGGCCACATCACTGAGAAACACGGAGGAGGCAAATACCTTACTCTCTACACAATGTCTCCCAAACTCCCCCACAGGGGGCTCCACAGGGCAGCCCCTGGCTCACAGCAGGGTGGAGCAAGGTAGGGGCAAGACCTGGAGGGCAAATAGAAGGCATCTGGCACAGCGGGGGACCTTCCAACAGAGGCCCCCCATGGGAAGAAGCCTCCTAACATCCACCAGGGTGGATGTGAACAGGTCTCTTTGGGTCTTGAGTTACAGCTGAAGGCTCTTGTACAGCAGCCGCCCTTCTGCGATGGTGGGCATTCTTTCTCCTCACTCAGATCATGTCTTTCCCCCCAAAAGTCCTATTGCCTGTCCAAAGCTGGGCTTGGAGCGAAGGGCCCAGGACTCAAACAGACCTATTTCTTTCTGCCACTAACTTATCTGACCACAGTTAGGCTTCTTCCTCCTTTGGGGTGACAGTTTCCCTCTATGTGAAACCAGGAGGCTCCACCAGATGACCCTCCAGGACTCCTTCCACAGCATTAGAAAGGTCATAGCCTCCTGAGAAAGCGATCCTGACATGACAGTAAAACATGGTTGTCCTTTTGGAGAAGCTGAGGCCCGTGAGCAGAGGAGCCAAGGTTGAAGGTCTCTGGCCACATGGGTACTTGCACAAGACTCCTGTCAGGGGCAGCTCCTGAGCAGGGCCCACCCTCGCCCTGCAGGTCCGCTCTCCCTGGGTGGCACTGCCCACAGCCATGTTTGTTTTTATGAGTGCAACGGCAGTGTGAAGTTTCAAGAGCTCTCCTGTGCCCTTCCCTGTGTGGGTGTGGCTGTGAATGGAGACATGTAAGAACAGTGGTTTCAACCAGGCTTCTAGATCTTGCTGGTCTCTCCCGGTCCGCCTGGGGATTTAGGGCCTGTGTAATGTCACTGCTTGTTTTTGACCCCAGGGGTCCAGCGTATATTGCAAAAAGTTAATTAGTATTGTTTCAATGAGAGTTGAGGGTGGGCTGTGTCAGCTCCTCTGGCCCCTTGGACCATCCTGCACACCCAAGGTCCACTATGTCTAGGAAGGTGCACTGCCAGCCACGGCCTGTGTGCTGAGACCAGGAAACAAAGACCACTGTATAGCAGGGGTTTTCTGCAGGCCAGTCCAGGAGGCCCTTGGAGACCACCATGCGAGAACCAAGACCCTCTCCCTTCAAACCGTGAGACAGGGAGAGCTTTTCAGCCTGTGAAAGTAGTTTTCAGAACTGGTAACGCTGGATCAACTGTCACCTGAATACAACTCTCTTTGGCTTGTACTATGTTTGCCCAGATAGATTGATTTTCACAGAGTGAAATGGACTGTCCCAGTTAGAAGTCAAATTGGGATTTCTGGTTACTTTAAGAAACCAGGAAGCCTGGTCCCGTGGCCTAGTGATTAAGTGACCTGGATTCCATATGGCCGACTGTGCAGTTTGAATTCCAGCCCCAGTGGCTTGAGAAACACAGTGGAGAAATAGAGGGGAAGGGATTGTGGCATGACTATGCCCCATCGGGGGCTGCTTTCTTCCTCTCCCTCTCTTCGTCTCTCTGCCTTTCTCGGGAGAGGCATGTATACCCTTTGGCAAACATTAAAAGAAAGAAAGAAAAAACAAACCAGGAGACTTGGCAGCACTGGGCTCACATTCCTGCATGGGCATGTTTAGCTAGGGCAGGGCTGCAACCACCCCCATAGATCTGTTCTCTTCGGTTCACCTCAGTCCTCACCGTCCCCTCTTGTCTTCCAGCTAAGAGTTGCATACCCATTGCTGTTTACCATCAAGTTTATGCTGCTGTTTCTCAAGTCAGACAGGAGGAAAGTAAACGATTGTGGGTTCCCACATTTCCAACAAAACCGAACAAACAGGCCCAGTCTGGTGGCATAGACTGGAGTGTGGCGGACCGCAGCCTGGAAGCTGCAGGCTGACTGTAGGTTCAGGCCAGGGGCCTGTGCAGGTGCTCAAGATCCTGAGGAGCTAGAGTGGGGAGAGAGGATCATGGTATGACAGGACCCTGTTGAGAGCGTTCACGCTCTTTCTCTCTCTCTCATGTAGGTGTACTATTACTTTTTTTTTTTTGAGAGGTTTTTGCTATAGGGCGTGTGCACTCGCCAGACAGAGAGAGACATACATAGAGACAGAAAGCGAGAAATCACCCCCCAGGGGGATGGCCACGCCGCAATCCCTTCTCCTCCATTCTCCTCTCGGGATCTTGGGCACGC